ACATGAATTTCGACCAAAAAATGTGTTGCCAGATTTAAATGCCAAATTAAAGTAGGGGCAAAACCATGAAGAAAAATCCAAATCTCGTGAAAATCGGTTGAATTTTGGCCGAGCTATGACAATGGGAAATTTCGACCCACATCGAAATCCATTTTTAGGGGTCCACATTTTGACATGAATTTCGACCAAAAAATGTGTTGCCAGATTTAAATGCCAAATTAAAGTAGGGGCAAAACCATGAAGAAAAATCCAAATCTCGTGAAAATTGGTTGAATTTTGGCCGAGTTATGGAAGGGGGAAATTTCGACCCATGTCTATATCCATTTTTAGGGGTCCACATTTTGACATGAATTTCGACCAAAAAATGTGTTGCCAGATTTAAATGCCAAGTTAAAGTAGGGGCAAAACCATGAAGAAAAATCCAAATCTCGTGAAAATCGGTTGAATTTTGGCTGAGTTATGACAATGGGAAATTTCGATCCATGTCGATATCCATTTTTAGGGGTCCACATTTTGACATGAATTTCGACCAAAAAATGTGTTGCCAGATTTAAATGCCAAATTAAAGTAGGGGCAAAACCATGAAGAAAAATCCAAATCTCGTGAAAATCGGTTGAATTTTGGCCGAGTTATGACAATGGGAAATTTCGACCCATGTCGATATCCATTTTTAGGGGTCCACATTTTGACATGAATTTCGACCAAAAAATGTGTTGCCAGATTTAAATGCCAAATTAAAGTAGGTTCAAAACCATTAAGAAAAATCCAAATCTCGTGAAAATCGGTTGAATTTTGGCCGAGTTATGGAAGGGGGAAATTTCGACCCATGTCGATATCCATTTTTAGGGGTCCACATTTTGACATGAATTTCGACCAAAAAATGTGTTGCCAGATTTAAATGCCAAATTAAAGTAGGGGCAAAACCATGAAGAAAAATCCAAATCTCGTGAAAATCGGTTGAATTTTGGCCGAGTTATAGAAGGGGGAAATTTCGACCCATGTCGATATCCATTTTTAGGGGTCCACATTTTGACATGAATTTCGACCAAAAAATGTGTTGCCAGATTTAAATGCCAAATTAAAGTAGGGGCAAAACCATGAAGAAAAATCCAAATCTCGTGAAAATCGGTTAAATTTTGGCCGAGTTATGGAAGGGGGAAATTTCGACCCATGTCGATATCCATTTTTAGGGGTCCACATTTTGACATAAATTTGGACCATAAAATGTGTTGCCAGATTTAAATGCCAAATTAAAGTAGGGGCAAAACCATGAAGAAAAATCCAAATCTCGTGAAAATCGGTTGAATTTTGGCCGAGTTATGACAATGGGAAATTTCGACCCACATCGAAATCCATTTTTAGGGGTCCACATTTTGACATGAATTTCGACCAAAAAATGTGTTGCCAGATTTAAATGCCAAATTAAAGTAGGGGCAAAACCATGAAGAAAAATCCAAATCTCGTGAAAATCGGTTGAATTTTGGCCGAGATATGGAAGGGGGAAATTTCGACCCATGTCGATATCCATTTTTAGGGGGCCACATTTTGACATGAATTTCGACCAAAAAATGTGTTGCCAGATTTAAATGCCAAATTAAAGTAGGGGCAAAACCATGAAGAAAAATCCAAATCTCGTGAAAATCGGTTAAATTTTGGCCGAGTTATGGAAGGGGGAAATTTCGACCCATGTCGATATCCATTTTTAGGGGTCCACATTTTGACATGAATTTGGACCAAAAAATGTGTTGCCAGATTTAAATGCCAAATTAAAGTAGGGGCAAAACCATGAAGAAAAATCCAAATCTCGTGAAAATCGGTTGAATTTTGGCCGAGTTATGGAAGGGGGAAATTTCGACCCATGTCGATATCCATTTTTAGGGGGCCACATTTTGACATGAATTTCGACCAAAAAATGTGTTGCCAGATTTAAATGCCAAATTAAAGTAGGGGCAAAACCATGAAGAAAAATCCAAATCTCGTGAAAATCGGTTGAATTTTGGCCGAGTTATAGAAGGGGGAAATTTCGACCCATGTCGATATCCATTTTTAGGGGTCCACATTTTGACATGAATTTGGACCAAAAAATGTGTTGCCAGATTTAAATGCCAAATTAAAGTAGGGGCAAAACCATGAAGAAAAATCCAAATCTCGTGAAAATCGGTTGAATTTTGGCCGAGTTATAGAAGGGGGAAATTTCGACCCATGTCGATATCCATTTTTAGGGGTCCACATTTTGACATGAATTTGGACCAAAACATGTGTTGCCAGATTTAAATGCCAAATTAAAGTAGGGGCAAAACCATGAAGAAAAATCCAAATCTCGTGAAAATCGGTTGAATTTTGGCCGAGTTATGGAAGGGGGAAATTTCGACCCATGTCGATATCCATTTTTAAGGGTCCACATTTTGACATGAATTTGGACCAAAACATGTGTTGCCAGATTTAAATGCCAAATTAAAGTAGGGGCAAAACCATGAAGAAAAATCCAAATCTCGTGAAAATCGGTTGAATTTTGGCCGAGTTATAGAAGGGGGAAATTTCGACCCATGTCGATATCCATTTTTTGGGGTCCACATTTTGACATGAATTTGAACCAAAACATGTGTTGCCAGATTTAAATGCCAAATTAAAGTAGGGGCAAAACCATGAAGAAAAATCCAAATCTCGTGAAAATTGGTTGAATTTTGGCCGAGTTATAGAAGGGGGAAATTTCGACCCATGTCGATATCCATTTTTAGGGGTCCACATTTTGACATGAATTTCGACCAAAAAATGTGTTGCCAGATTTAAATGCCAAATTAAAGTAGGGGCAAAACCATGAAGAAAAATCCAAATCTCGTGAAAATCGGTTGAATTTTGGCCGAGTTATGGAAGGGGGAAATTTCGACCCATGTCGATATCCATTTTTAGGGGTCCACATTTTGACATGGATTTCGACCAAAAAATGCGTTGCCAGATTTAAATGCCAAATTAAAGTAGGGGCAAAACCATGAAGAAAAATCCAAATCTCGTGAAAATCGGTTGAATTTTGGCCGAGTTATGGAAGGGGGAAATTTCGACCCATGTCGAATAATACACCCTTTTCTCTCTCTCTTTCTCCTTTCAAACGACTGTGAATGAACAATCTAAATGAATCTTTCAGTTCAAATTTTTTTTCTCGATGTTCTTTTTTTACAGAATTAAATCTAAAATTATAAAATAAATGTTCCAGCTAGTTTATGGGCATGGAAATAGCTATTTGAAAAATAATTTCATATTATTTTCCTTCTGTACAAAATACAGAATATTAGTGAGATATACATTTTCTGGCTAGCTTATTGGCATTAAAAATCATAAAATAGCTAGCTCATTATTTGAAATTTGCCTCGCTTTTTTTTTAAAGAATTATATCGTAAATTTCGAAATTTTAAAAAGACATTTAATGGGCATCGAAACTAAACGTTTGTATTCGTAAAGCCAACTCGTAGAAATTATGTATCTATCCATCAATCATTTATTGCTACGATTTTATTCAGACAATTTATAAAACATTTCTCCGCAATAAAAGTGAATGCACGACAGACAACAAATAAATATTTTTGATGTGCGCTACAAAGAAAAACCCAATCATAAGAGTGTAAAATGTATAAATATCGAGTAAAACTTGAGTTGTTGTTATTTTTTATTATTGTTGCATAAACTGAAGACAATTCAGAGCTAACGTTCAGGCCAGGCGCGGCGGGCGTGCGTGATACAAATTAAAGCTGCAATGGAATATAAAAACACAATACAATAAATCAGCTTAAATATGCATGAGGCGAAAAGATGGAAAAGAAAAGAAAAACTGCAAAAAAAGTGAGAAAATTAAAAATTCAATACATTTCCTTCCGTTTTGAACGTTTTGGCCAAACGCATTTTGGCGCATTGCCAATTGCCGATTGCCTCTGGCCCGAGCTTCCTGAAGCTGGCAAATTGAAAGATATTGTAAAGTTGTGATTGCAACCAGTTTGTCGCCCACACACTTGGCCCACAAATCGTTTGGGCCACAGCACTTCAAAGGCGGCTTAAATGTTGAATAAGTCCCATTCAGATTAGCTGGCGAGATGAATGCTCCAATTTGCGTGCCCGGCAAACCCGGAAAATGTCTGCAAAATATGCCATAGCATATCTCTGTGTTTTTTTGTATTCGAGTGTAAATTGAAGCCTTGCGATTGTTTGCTTTATGCTTTACTCGCATTCTTGTTGTATGCTCTACTTATGCAAAAACAAAAAAAAAAAGTAAGAGTGCTGTAGACGTGAGTGCCCGACTGGGAGATACTCTGCACCAAGCTGCCTTTGCAGACATTCGAGCTTTTTTCTTTATACACATATACAAATGCACACATGAATACGCACACACACACGCATGCTTCTGTGCTTCTTCTTCTACTTTTAGACGCGCATTATAAGAAATGCGTTCTTGAATAACTTGGGTGTTTAAGAGTGGCATCTACATGTGTGTTTATACCAAAACGTAAGACTATGCCCAGGAAAGTGTTTTAATTTTTTAGGTATCCCAAAAGAGAACTCTTCATAAACTTTTTATAGCTCTCAAGAGCCTATGTTTGAAGTCTCTAGCTCTTTTGAATATGCCTTAATAAATTTGTTTTAAATTCTATCTACATTTATCTATATTAAGAAAAAGTGGGCAGACACAGACGGATGGATAGACGGGTATAGCTAGGTCGACTTGGCTATTGAAGAAGAATGTATATTCTTCATGAGGTCGCAAATGTTGCCTTCTGCCTGCTGCATACATTTGCATAAAACGGTTATACCCCATTTTTAGGCCAACTTTCTGGCATGAAAACGTACTCATGACTCGCTCTGAAAGCTTTTACCTATAAAAAGTGAAAGATCTTGCCGGCTCGCTTACCTAATGCTTATTAGTCTCTGTGGGGCGTGTCGGCAATGCTGGTGGCTTAGTAACTAACGGCTACAGTGGGACAGCCACATTTTGGTACTCTGCTTTTTACTGTGTGCTAAGCGTTTAGTTGATGCAAATTTGGTAAATGCTCTAGGAATTCACGACGATTCGCCTGAATGATTTTGTGGTACCAGCTGCTAGCATTGGAATTATCATTAACCAAAGGCCTGGGCGGTGGCAATGTGGTGCTAACCACAACTGTGGCCACTTGCGGTGCCTTCTCATCGTTATTGGACTTGGCTTTGTTGTATGTGCCAAGCGTTGTTGTCTTGCCCAATGGAGCCAAAGTTGTAGCCATTGTTGTTGTTGTTGTAAGCAGTTCATCGGCTGGCAGCTCGAATGGCACCAGCGGCAAGTCCTTGTCTATAAAGTTGTGCAATGTTTCAAAGGCTAAACTGCCATTGGCTTGAGTCGTAAGCGGCGTCTTGCCATTGACTATATCCAGCACAGCTGGCTGCAGCACATCCTGCGCCACATTGATGTGATTCAAATCCAGGCCATGCTGCTGCTTCAGTTGCTGTGCCACCTTGTGCTCCACCTGATCCACGCTCACGTTCAAATGACTCTTGGGATCCCAGCTGATATTCACAGCTGGCTGCATTTCATGCTGCACCTTGAGTAGATCGGGGCGCTGTGTGGGCCAAATGGAGTCCACACGCTGATCGCCCGGCGCATAGCTTTGGGAGTGCGCCAAGTAGCCGCTCTCCTCATTGGACCTGTAGCGTGTCACCTGAACGTATCCGTCGGGCCGCACATAGCCATAGCTGCCCTCGATGCTGCCGTTCACAAATCGTCTCTCATCTCGAAACTGTATATTGCCAGTCTGTGCATCCTCCACTTCATAGCCAAAGGCGTAGGTATTGGGACCTGTGCGGATTATACAAATAGTTAGTGTTACGTTTACTTCAGCCGAACCTTTTGTGGCCTACCGTAAGGCTCATGCAGAAAGAAATTGCTCATTTTGCTTGGCTCGCTTCGAGTTTCATCTGCTGTCTTCGCGTATGCTGTATTTCCTGCTGGCACTGGCGTGGCCAACGCGGCGTATACTTTTGCGACGAGCAGCAGCAGCAGCAACTGCAAGAAGAATGTTAATATTATTGCATACTTTGGGGCTAGCAGACTTGGCCTTAAGCTTTAGTTGTAAAGTTTACAATGGATTTAAAATAAGATGAAAAGTAACTTGGCTTTGGCAGAGTAATGGAAGTTGGAAGACTTAAAAAAGCTTGATTGTGCGCTTTTATACCCTAACGGAGGGTTTCTTTGCGTGGGCGACCCTATATATAAAATATTTCCGGCAACAGGACGTCGAGTTATATCTGTCCATATAATGTATATATGTGTGTATGCATGTGTGTATGTATATATTCAAGTATGTATGTACGTTTGTACGTATCTAAGTAAAAGTTAAAGAAACATATTTTAAAATAGCGCCTTACTATGTGCTTCTCATGGATTCATGTAAGCTTGTGTTGGAAATCTAATTAACTTTATTTAAGCTTCTTCATAATCCCCTCTGACTAACTGTCCATCTTCCTCTCGTTGTTAGATTATTCCTTTTACCAGTTTCCCAGTCGAGCAATGTTTAAAGCAGCTTTCTTTAATTTAATTTTCGATACTTTCCTTGGGGCATTGTTAATAATTTGCAAAATATACCAAATACTTCTTTACGACTGCCTACATGAGTTTCATAATTTTTCATATTAAAGATTCAGTCATCCACACTAATAAATCGATATTCTTAGAGGCAGAGCTATTCACTTACAAACAACCATAGGCGAAATGTATTTGTAAGAACTTCCATCATGAATTTTAATGAGCTGCGAATCACATTTGCTGAGCGTCACACGCTTTGCTTTTTGACATTCCAAGCTGTAAATACTTTGATATATCCGTATATCCGGCGGACTTGTGGGCACTTTCAGTGGCAAAATTGTACTGAAGACGCGACCGAGCCGCAGCCAAAACATAGTTGAGAGCCCAATTAGAAATACAATGTTAGAATGCTAAACAATTTTCAGCATGCTCAGTCAAATTAATTTGGTGAACAGATGAGTTGAGAAATGAAGAAAAAATAATGATATACATCGGCTAAACAGCTTGACCTCTGTGGAGGCTTAGCGGGAAAAACTATAATAATCATTTATATAATAATATAGTAAGAATAATTCATGTCTTGACTTTTTTTTTCAATTTGATTTTTATTCATTTTTTTGTAGTTTTCTATTAATACATTTTTATAATTCGATAATAACGGGTTTCTGCATTTCGTTGTGTTTATCAAGAATTTGTATTGTGTAAAATAATTACTCAATGAACTTTGAGCGTGAGAGACATGTGAGAGTTTTTTTTTTCTTCTTGTTGTTGTTTGTTTGATCTACAGAGACAACATTGATGCAACATGATTTTTTTTTTTGTGATTTTTTTTGTTGTTTACATTTTATATACATATATATTGATATTATAATTAAGCGGCATAATTGTTTATAAATACAATACACACAAATTGTGAAGAATACTAAATGCAAAAATGAAACTAGATACAAAAGTGTCAGACTGAGAGTGTGGATGTGTATATGTGTGTGAGTGAGATAGTCGTAGAGAGCGTCAGTTTAGCGTTGAGTAATAAGAGGAAAGAGAAAGAATGAGCGAGAATGAGACAGTTGAGTGCGTGAGACAGCGAGTATGTGGGTGAGAGTTCTTGACAATATGTTGAAATATTTTTCAAGCGTAACTTGAATGGGTGAATCGAAATGCACGAAACGCACGCGCCAAGGTATCACAAGAAGAGCTGTATCTATGGCCCAGTGCTTGCCAAACTGTGCGCCAAATGAAATGGCACAAAATGCTCCCATTGCTTAAATATTAAACAATGTTGCGGAGCTGGCACGCCCCAAGCTGTTAGTAGGGCGTGGCAGTTCTTCAATTGACCACAGTTTATTTATATGGCGCCAAAGGCAACTCCATAAGAGCGAGAGAGAGAAAGAGTGATAGTGAGAAAGAACGCATAAATATATTACAAAAGTGAGAGCGGAAGAAATTGAAAGTTGAAGAAAATACTTTTTAGACAGACAAACAGTTGTGGTTAAGTTCTGGAGAATGCCTTTGCGAATTGGTCTGTAAAAACAGCTGCACTTGTGATTATATTTCGCGCTGACCTTGACTTGTGCTTGGTGCTGGATGGTAATGGGCGGAAGTGGTTAAATATAATAAGAAACATTGATTAAATATACAAAATATACAAATATATATCCATATATATGTGCATTCAAAAACTTTGCCTCGTTTTCAACTGTGATTTCTGCTGCTGCTGCTGCTGCTGTTGCTTCAGTTAACGCTTTATATCAAAATCATTATCATTATCAACGTTCACCAACATCATCATCATTATCATCATCATCATTATCATCATCATCGTCATCATCATCATCATTCTCATACTCGTGCTATGATCAAGATCAAGTCATTATGCTTTTGTTTTTGTTTTTTTGTTTTGTTTTGTTTTTGTTCGTATTTCCTTCGTCCATGCCATGCCAGATCAGCCGGGTGCCGGGCACCCACTAAGGTGCCCGTTTCTACTAAAAACTTCTTAGCTACATTTTACTTACTTACAAAAAAAATGTACACGTATTAACGATTTTTCAATGGATCTGTTTTATCTGCCTGTTGTTCCTATATATTGATTGCTGTGTTTGCGGTTGCGTGTGGGGGAGAGAGCACCTTCATGACTCGACTGCTCGACGACCTTTAGTAGTGGTGCAGCAGCGGGGCATGTGCCAGCACTGGAGCGTGCACGACGGGCGCATGGGCGATGATCTTGGGCGCGGTCTTGTGGACGACGGCATTGAAACCGTTATGATCATCGGCAGTGTAGTCCACGGTGCGCACAGAGCCATCGGGCTCGACCAGCGAGTATTGGCCTGGTCAATGCATAAAAGAAGAATTGATGGCAATTAGTTAAACAGTTAGTGTATGTCAAGTTTGTTGCCTAAGTCTTTTGCTTGCATTCAGTGTTCTATGCCAAACAAGTTTGTAGCTTAAGTCTTTTGCTGGGTAAATGTTTGTTGCCTAAGTCTTTTGCCTGCATAAAAAGTATGTTGCCTAAGTCTCTGGTATATGTTCTATGCCAAATAAGTTTGTTGCTTAAGTCTTTTGATTTCATAGAAAGTTTGCTGACTAAGTCTTAAGTTAACATTCATTGTTCTATGCCAAATAAGTTTGTCGCTTAAGTCTTGACGGCATAAGAAGTTTGTTGCCTATGTCTTTTGTTTGTTTTTAGAAAATTTAGATATTTTTTTGAGTTATTGGGTTTTCTATGAGGCATTTTGTGAGAAGTTCTCTGCTTCATTTTTGTTATGCTCTTCAAGCCCCGCGCAACTTACCCTTCACAACATCACCATCACGCTCCTCAGCCTGAGACTTGATATCGCCGGTGTGGGGATCCTTGATGCCATAGTTGAAGGAGTATTTGGGATAGGCCACCGGCTCCGCATGCACAGCATGGGCCAGCACTGGGGCATGATGCACCTGCAACAACGATGGACCATAGTGACCCAGCTCAATTGGCACAGCTTGGGCGGCGGCAAGCAACAGAGCAATGGCAACAAAGTACTGTATGTGGGCGTGTGTATGTGTGTGGGTGTAGAAGAAGAGGCAGAAAATGAGTCCTTGCTCGATCGCAACGTTTGTTATGCGTTGAGTATTTTTTCTTTTTTTTTTTTTTGATTTTGTCGTACCTTCATTTCTATTGAGCACAGACGACAGCACACGACGCGAACAAAAGGACGAAGGATTCGTTTCAAATTAAACTGAACTGGCACAACTGTGGCTTTAGGCACGGCTAAGACGCTTTAGAGGACCGTTTATAGCACGAAATCGTAAGCTGAACTGATGTCTGCAACGATGACCAAAAGTATTTATATACGCGCAGGCGATGCCAGCGAGCACGACGACGTCGATGGCGACGGCAGCAGCAGCAGCAACAGCAACAGCAGCGAGTCGAGTCGTACGAGTTGCAGCTGCAGCGAGCGGCGGCAGCGGGCAGAAAACGAAGACATAGGCACAGAGACCACGCATGTGCCGGCTGAGATCGCTGCTGCAGTTGCTGTTGCTGCTGTTGCTGTTGCAGTTGCTGTTGCTGCTGCTGCTGCTGTTGCCGCTGGGTGCGGCATTTTCTTGGGCTGTGAAGGCGTTGCTAGCTTTTGTGACTTGGTTTTCGGCAGTTGTATGTATCTGTTAAGGACAGATAACGGAGCAATTGAAAGTGACACTTTGCCATAGCTGTTGTTGTTGTTGCTGCTGCTGCTGTTATAGCCTAAGCTGTTTATTTATTGATCGGTTGCGGTAATTACGACTCACAGTCGGAGGCAGTTTTAATAGCTGCGACAGAGACTCTGGTCGCTGCAAATATTATTACCATATCTGTGGCAGTCAATGCGCGACGTTATAATTGCCACAAAAGCAACAGAAACAACAACAACAACAACTAGCTTGACGCAATTTGTTGCACGACATTTTTTGTTCAAAGAACTTTTGTGTGCGTGCGTTTGTGGAATTTCGATGTTGGCAAATGCTCGCATATTTTGTTTTGCTTATTTCTATGCTCTTTGTTTTTGGCTACGCATATCAAACGTCGTTCAATCAACATATTGTTGTGGCATATGACAATTTCAATTTGTTGCCATGAGAGCCATTCGGATTAGTTGCTTGTGTAGTTTTCTTGTAACGTTTTCTGGGCTAAAAAGACAACAGATAAAACGTTTTCACTTGTACAAAACCCTTATGACATATTTGTGCATTATCGATGGGGTATATAAAGAAAGAGAAAGATATGCAACTTATGCAGTTGAGTTTTTTAAGCAATTAATGCATAAAGCCCTTATTTATTAAAATCGGTTGAGAGTTGACTGTAATGGAATTTTGTGGTTTAGTAGAGATATGCTAGGATATTTATTAGGGACTTGGAACTTAAGTCCAAATTTATTGCATTTTTTGGTATGCTTTTTGCCTGAGAATATGATCCTGTCAGAGACTCTTCAAGATTGAATTTTTGACTAACTTTAAAATCAGTTCAATTTTAACCAAGTTTTAGCAAATGGAAATTGTTCAATTTTGACCAACTTATAATTCGACTATAGCCTTCTTATTTGACTGAATAAATTGTTAGGCGAGCTAACCTTTGCCATAATTAAGTGTTATTAATAGATTATTAAATTCAGTTAACCAACTCTGCTGCTAAGCGACACAAATCGCAGTTTAAGCATCAATATGAACAATCCAGGCGTAACTCTGAACAAAAATGGGTCTTGCCCAATTCGTGGCCACATGGGGCGTTAGATTTTCCATGCTCATGATGTGAAATTTGGACACGTTGACTTGAAATTTCTTGCAACGCCCACGCAAACAGCTTTATGGCAAGTTGCGGGCATGCAGCAAGCAACAAGCAAAAAACAAGAAACGACAAAATGTTCTTGCATGACATATCAGAAAATTATTATTATATCTTGTAGTCAAAAGAGCACACAAGTGGCCAGGACAGACAGACGAACACATGTGGCAGCTACGATGGGAAAAAAACAAACAGCGCAAAGTTTGTTTTGCACGAAACAAAGGTGCAAAGCAGACTTGGCCAGAAAAACTGCACTTAAAGCTACTAAAAGATCATTTGTGTGGCTGGGAAGGCCCGCAACTAAAACAGAATCGACTTACATAAAATGACTTTAAAGGCGACACATTTACAAGGCGCACCAAAACCGAAATAAAAAACGCTTTGAAACAATTGTGGGCTAAGAAAATGCAAACAACAATAACAACAACAACAACAATGCAGCTGAGGCAGCCACAGGCTTTGCAAACAAGTTGGCCACGTCACGATCGCGATCGCACTTTGACGGAGCACAGCGCGGGGTGGGGGGGTTTAGCTAGATTGGAGCCTTTGGAGTTTAGTTGGTTAGTTGGTCAGCGGCGGCTGAAATGAGTGGAACACGCTTTGTCTTTGTCGAACACAGCAGCGTTCGATGATTGCGCAACAAATGCGGCACAGTTTGAGAGCCATTGCATGGCGCATTGTTTGTCTGCGGGGGCGACATGCGCGATGGCTGCGTTAATTGCCAACGCTGCCGCTGCCTCTGCTGCTCTTGTGGCACCTGCGCCACTGTCAACGCATGTCACAAATATGTGCGCCACGCCAAGCACTAAAAATTGCCAATCGAAATGCAAAATCGCAATTCCAAATCGATTGCCTCAATCATCAAACTCCAATTCCAACAGCAACTGCAACTCCGACCGAGTGTCAGCTCGATAAGTAGAACGAAGTTTTTTAATCTTGATTTATGCCGCACATGCAAAAATATTTTGGACAATGGTTTGGTTTTTATTACTTATTTTATCTGGCGGTTCTCTTGAACATTTAAACGCACTTTGCTTTGATTTTAATGACTTGTCTGTTCTGCATTGACATTGATTTATGCACATTCATGCAAATGGTCAGTTTTAGAAAGGCCGCTAATCCGCATTGAAAGTCGCCAGGCTCGAATGTAATTTAAGCTGAGTCAAGCTATTATTTTTGCTTTTATTGGTCGCACTACGCTGCGTATGCGTAATATGGCATTTCCTGCCACAGTTCAGCTCAGCTGCTTCTGCTGCACATCCGCTGTGGCAGGCTACCTTCCCATGGGAAGCTTGTATACATTTCATTTCCCAAATGTAACATAAAACGCTGCGAACAATGAGCTTATTACGCATACGCAGCGTTTGCCCAGAGAGTCAAAGGTTTGTTTCCTATTCAATTATCTTATATTGTTAAAGAATTATATAACTGATATACCAAGGTTTAGATTCTGAAACTCTTAGAAAAGGGAAAAGATTTCCAACAGTTTTTGCAAAAATATAGAGAAAATATGAGATTTATATAGTCTAAAATTCATTTTAAGTTCGGCAAGAAGCCCTTTTAAAGTCAAAATTTACCAGCTGCTGCTGGCATGCACATAATTATTATTATTTTTTTTTTACAAACATTGCATCGTTAGCTAATTAAAACATTTTCGCTAGCATTCTTGCACGTTTGGCCAAACTGCATGCTGTCCAGTTTTGGAGCTGGCCCGTCATTCTAAGCGGCACGCCATAAATCTTAGGCACATTGCCGCAATGCGCAGGCATCGACTCTTGGGATGCTATTAGCGAGAGATGCCTGAGCAGATGCTGGCAGCCAGCCGCTTGTCAATTAGGCACACACGATGCCCAGCCAAATGCCAAAGAGCTGCCAACCCAATTGTGTCGCCAACTCAATTCTCCAAATACTAACTGCATTTGGTCACGCTGGCCAGCTGCCCGCTGCTCCTGCTCCTCCTTCTCCTCCTTCTCTCCTCTTCACCTGCTGCTGCTCTCGCGGTGCCACTCAGTTGGTCAGTTGGTTAGTGCCATTTCGGCATCATTACCGCATCGTCGGTGCCTGCAAAAAAAAAAGTCCAAAGTAGTTTGATCCAATTTCATTGGCCGCCGCCCCCTCTGCCGTGCTCTGCCCCGCCGCCTTGCGCTGTCGTTTTGATTTTCGCACATTTAATGCGATTTTGCACATTTGCGCGTATGAATTAAGCGAGTGACGAAATGGACTCGCCGGCTAGGCAGTCCGGCCAAGTGGAGCACACACGCAAACAGATTTCAGAGATGTTGTGCGCGACTTTGCAACAAAGTCGTTGCCTGCCCGGTTGGTTGGTGCAATTGCCAATTGCTGCTGCGCCTGATTGATTCCGATCGAACGCAACAACAACGCACACGCTTCACTGCAGCAGCAGCAGCAGGCTCTGAGACGTTTCTCTGGCCAGGCAGCTAGTTGGATTACGCAAAGCCATTCCCAGCAGCAGCAAAATCAACTGACACATATTTCAATTAGCTTTTGCTTTAGATTTAACAAAAATAAAGTATATTTTATAGGCTTACGTAAGGCATATTTAATACATTTAGTATTTGTGCTTAATATGCCAGCTAAATACCGTAAAATACCAAATGCGTGCAACAAGCTAATTGAGGTGTAAAACAGAAAAATGGTTTCATTTACTTTTTTCGTTGGTAATTTTGATCATTTTGGTATTTAATAAAAATACCATTTTTATAAATCAACTTATTAGATTCGCTTACAAAATGATACATTTTAATTTTGCTTTGGTATTTTTTTGGTATTTTAGTAATTTTGGAGGGAAATAGAAATAGAGATCCAAAATGTTGCATCGTTTTTCCGTTTTGGTATATTTTCGGTATATTAATACTTTTCGTGTTTCACAATGAATTTGCTTAGTAAAACACAGTAGATTTGTAATATAATCACAAAAATACCATAAAATACCTATACAAATCAGCTTAACACTACAAAATACGTTTAGTTTTTCTTTAATTTTTTGTATATCACAAATAATAATTCACAATCGATTTTTAATCTAGAAAAATTGTTTAAAAAAAAATACGACAATAATACCAAAAATTATACAAATTTTGCATATAATCTGGTATTTTGCGGTATATTTGAACGCTTCTAATACTCTTCGCTGCTGTCCGTGTCCTCCAGCTGCTGCTGGCTATGCGTATTCGCATCCTCGTAGCCCTCCTCACTGCTGCCCTCGTATTCCTCATGATCGCCGCCGCCTTCGTTCTCATTGTCCTCATTCTCGCCCTCATCGTCTTCGTCATGGTCCTCATGCACCTTATACTGACCCTTGCCCTTTTGTGGTGCAGCTGCCTCGTGTTCCGCCTCTTCCTCCGCCTCCTCCTCCTGCTGATGCGTGTCAGCACTATTATCGCCATCGTCTTCTTCCCCTTGCACCTCATTGGCCTGGTCGTGTTCCACTTGCTGCTGCACGTGAACGCCACCCGCCTCGCTGCCATGGCCATGGAGTGTGGCGACACCATTTGTGATCACCTCGGCCTGAAAGCCGTTCGTGTCGTCCGCTGTGTATTTGACCACGCGCAGAGTGCCATCAGGATCGACTACGCTGCGTGTTGGCGTTGTTAATGAATGCGTTGACATGGCAACAGCGGCATTTACCTACCTGTAGACGCCGCGCACCTCGTCGCCGTTGCGCGTCTCTTTGCGATTCTGCAGCACACGCGTCTGGCCATCTTCGATGCCATAGGCGAAGCTGTATTCGGGTCGTGCCACATAGTCTGAGTGCGTGCCACCGCCATAGGCATCGGGCACGGCGACCAGTCGCTCCGGCCCCGCCACCGGACCCTCAAATCTCGTATAGGAATAGCCAATGGCCGAGCAGCCGGCAAATGTTGAGAAGATCGTCAACGCCAGCAGCGGCAGCCACGAGCCGAGTAGCTGCAACCGCTCGACGCGTGCCGACGCGGACGTAACGCGGAAGCACAAACAACAAGTGGCAAATGTTGTCGTCTTTGGTGTTCCAGCTGCGTGGCCGGTTATGCGTTGTCGCTTCTTCATGGCAGTTGTTGTTGCTATTGTTGATTGAATTTCAATGTTTTTATTTGCTGTTGTTTCTCGTTTTGATTGGCAGCGCGTTTTATTCGAGCTAACTTAATCCTCGCCAGAGTTTACGTTTGCATAAATACTAAGCGTGAAATGTTGCACTTCTCGGGTATTTATATATTTTTTCGCACTGCCCAACTGGGGAAAGGTATACCACAATCATTGTGCATATTTCCGCACAAATTATGCGCTTCAATGGTCACCGCATCCAACTGGAACTGGCCAAGAGCGCGCGCCAGAGATGCGGTCGTCCACTTGCCCCTTTGATGGGCAGCAAATTGCACACTTCCTAAAACCCAAAATGACGTCAATAAATTCAAGAGACGTCTAACTAAGGGCATCATATTTAAATATTTGGCACACTTAGATAATTTAGCTGCAAAACCCAAACCCAAAGAGAGAAAAAATAAAAAATGTCGTATTTTAATCAAATAGAAAAGGTCTTAAAAGTACGGTAAGGCAGGAAATACTTGATTTAATTCAAGTGTGCCTTTTTTAATGCAAAAACATAAAGCAAGCTTTTTTACGGTTTTATACCCAATTAAACTTAACCAAGTTTTAAAAACTCTTAAATCAATACCCAAATAAGCTCAATTTAAGACCCTCAATACAAAAATATAACCATTTTCAGACTAATAATGTCTTCTATTGAGCAAAATGTTCTACATATAATTTAAAATTGCTTGTGAGTTCTTGAATAAAGATGATGGAAACTTAATTTAAGCTCAAACTAAGTTGTGCTCGAGATAAGTTTATATTAACCTTCCTACAAGACCTCACAAGTATATATTATACTAAATTTATTAACAAAAGTACTTCTATTAATCTATTAATTCTATAAATAAATTTTCTTCTTAAATTAAGATCAACAGGGCAGAATTTTTTGATCATATTTCAAATATATTTAATATATTGAATTATATTGAATCCTCGGCATTTCGAATGTCACAATTCCTTCTTTTGATCAAGATATATAATACATGAATATATATATATATATATATATATATCTAAGATTCTGGTACGAAAGAAGATTTATTTTCATATTATAACGTTTTCATTTTATTAAAAAATATTATTTAATATTATGTCTATAAACACTTTATCGTTGCGAATTTGAAATCCTATTAATTGCATTGCATGTTTGCCCATTTATGTGCCCATCATAATTTCGAGTCTTATTGACCAATTTGTGCCCGAGGCTTGGGCACACCTGTCCGCCGCAGCAACGGCATCTAAACACTCTCTGAAAATGTTCGCGTCAAACATGGAAATCGCTTTAAGTGCGTTCAGCTGATTAGCCGCACAGCCCGCCGGCTGGAGGCGATGCTTATAATGCGCCTGCTTAAAGATCGAACAGTTCGAGTCATGATAGTCATGGCAAAAAATGAAAAAAGCAACAAAAAAACGCAGCTGTGCAGCTTTGACCTTTTTTGTGTGAGGGTTCCGCCAAAGAAATATGGCTATTATTTTGACTACTTCTAATTTATAAGCAAGGCGCATTGCTGCGGTTGCGGCTGCGGCTGCTGCAACTGTTGTTTGGCATGAAAAATGCATATATCATTGGCCTCTGGTACTTGACGGCTGTTTGTTTGGGCTTTAAAGCGCGCACAGTAGCCCAGGCCAGGCGGACAGACGGACAGACCTGGCAGCTGGGCAGCCGGTCAGCTAGGCAGCTAGGCTGGCCCATGAGGCGGGCAATAGCAGCGTGGGAAAACTTGTTGTTGTCGACGAAGACGACGAGGCGCTTAATTACCCATTACACAAATGCCGCTTGGCAGCTTTAAGAATCGCAATTCGCAAGTTTTTGGTTTTTGGCTATTAACGCCAGCGCTTGGTAGTCGTAATTAAGACGCAGACGCAAGCTGCTGGATGTGTTGGCCTCAGTTCGTTGCCTAAGTCTTTCGTTTTGCCCTTTAGCGGCACGCAACCGAATGAGCCAAATGTGCCATTGCATTATGACTTATGTTGCTGTTGCTGCTGCTGCTGCTGATGTTGATCCATGTTGCAATGCAAATCGTTGTCATTGCTTTTGTTGTTGTTTATGTTGCTGTCGCATGAGGGACAACAACTGTGCAATCAAAGTCTATTAAAAGCAAAACTAAGCCACATGCCAAAAAATCATGTTGCTGACCAAAATGAGAGCGTGCGCCTCGCCAGACAAAAGTCTAAATAGTCGCCAGACAGCGTCCAGGTGTCCAGGGGGAGGGACGGTCGGTGGGGCTGTCTGTGAGGGAGACAATCTGCCTGGCAGATTTCTTTCTTGCAATAAATTGCATTTACTACACGCTGCGCTCTGTTTCTATCTTTTATTTTTGCTATTATGTAAGTCAACAACGTTCCAGTCTCAGCTCACAGCTTACAACTCACAGCTCACAGTGGCCCGTTTCCAGTTCCAGTTCTCCACTTTCCCCTCCCTTCCTCTCCATCATCATGCGCCACTTTTCACTATTAAGTGCTCTGGTTTGTCTCTAGCTTTGATTTCGTTTTCATTTGCGTCGTCAGCCTGGTCAGCTTCAGTGCCCCAGCAGCTCGCGATTGCAACAGCTTCAAACAACAAAACGAGACAGGCAGAAAAACACACTCACACACACACTCACACACATACACATACGCACACAAATGCCTGTAATGAAAATGAAATTGAAATGCGAGTGCGAGTAAGAGCGGTTCCATTAGCCGCTTTGCCATGCAACGTTTGTGTCTGTGTGTGTGTGTGACGGGATTCTACAAGAAACCACAACAAAAATATGTCAAAAAATTTCATAAATTTGAAATTTCTTGCAAATAGTGTAAATATTGCTTAATAAAAGTAAATAAATAAATCTTATTATTCGCCCGGCAGAAAGGTTGAAACAGCACAGAGCGCTTGACCTCCTTCTTTAGCTTGGGCCTGACAGTCTGTCTGCCACGGCAGCTGCTGAAGGCATTTCAAATGACCAAAATTCTAACGAAGTTACTGAAATGATATACTTAAAGCTTGGTACATATACTCTTAAGAGTGTGCACTAAGTCGGGGTGTTCCGTCCTCAAAGAAAACATCATAAAGAAAGCAGGATAAAAGCTTGCTTTACAAACGTGACGCCATGCGCCTGCGTGGCTGTGTTGCCAGCGCTTTGAACTACAACTAACTTTTGGCATCTAAATCTGGCAACATTATTCTTGGTCAAAAAAAATCAAATTCTATATAACCATAGGTCAAAATTTCCCACCAGCTATCTTATACGTAGGCTAGTCTAATATATAAGAAATCAATCTATCCGATTTTAAATAAAGTATAAAATGATTTATTTAAGGATGGTCTTTGGCAACCTTTCCATTTTTAAATATTTAATTAGTTTGGGTCCGTGGCTTAATTAATTAAGATAAAAAATTGAATATTTAAAATTAATAATTCAAGAAAATTCCAGGCTAAACGCCTAAAGCTGAATATGTTTCGCCTATCGACTGAATCTAATGTCAAACTCTTGCAACCGGGCAACATGCGTAACTCATGTCACGTTGCATGGTCACGCAATGGCCGCTGCTTATCCGCAGCTTGGACAGCAGACCGGCAACTGGTGGCAACTGTCGATTTTTCACCTTTTTGCACCCTGTTACAATGTGCGAAAACAAATGCGCGTATTTCAGTTTTGACAATGCACAAAATGCGTGTCACATAAATTGACGCAATGCGAACCATGCGGCCACTATCAAGTGCACCTACCCACACACACACACACGCACACACAGAGCTGCCACCGCGTGGTGTCGAGGTGCCAATTAAAGCTACACGCCAGACCAAAAACCAAACAAAATGGTACAGAACCGGCCAAAGACTTGAGATTCGATGCGATTCGGTTCGATTCTTGGCGGCGTGTTTTATGCACCTTTGACATGCAAGCCGATTGAACGGGCGGCGAGTCCACGCTGACTCGGCACAGTTTACACGAAACAACAACAACAACAGCAACAGCAGCAGCAGCAACAAATGCGATTGCATTTTTTTATAAAATAGTGCAAAAATTACGAAATTTGTCGTCTGACAAAAAGCGCAGAAAACGTTATAAATTAAATTTACAATTTTGGAGCTCATTAAATGCCGAGCAGAGCGGCAACAAATGTTTGTTGTCGCAATTGTTGGCCATTGAATAATGGCTAGAAAAGGGTATATTGATTTAGTGCAAATGTGGGAAACAGGCAGAGGGAAGCAGCTCCGACTCCATAAATTATATATACATATATTTCTTCTATATATATGCAATCGGAAGGACGAACCAAGTCGATCTAGCTACATCCGTCTGACTGATGACTTACAAATGTAAATATAAATTCTCGTAATTGCAGCATAAATCATTTCTTTCGATATCTGCTCCAATCGATAAGAATCGATTTTGAGACTTGGTTTTATAAGCATAACTTGAACACTATTAGAGCTATGTATCGTATTAAATACTCACCTTAGATAATTCTCTCCAATTCCCAAAAAATTGCAAAAAAGGAGATTTATAAAGATAAAGTATGCAGTTACTTCTATAGGTCGTATTTCGTATTTAATACAGATCGGACTATAAACGCCAAAGTTAATCAAGAATGCATTTCCCATAGTATGTGTTAAAGGGAAGAAGAAGCGAAGCCCCTTCTCGTGCATAGCAGAAAGCTAAAATGTTTGCGACGGCAGCTTGATGCTGGGCCCAGGGTATCTACAAGTCGAGCACGGTTGCATGTTGCTCTTGTTGTTGTGGGCTGTGCGAGTATTTTGGTCAAAATTTAGAACATCGCCTTGGGAAAAAGCCAAAATGCCTTTAATTGTTGCCAATTTCAGGTCACTTTAAGTCGTTTTGCTTTGTTGTTGGGCCGTTAAATTTTCTCGCGTTTGTCACAAATTGAATAATGTCTCAATTGAACAGCAAAAACAACAACAACAAACAAACAAGTCAACATTGCTTGCAGTTGTTTGCACAGTTCACAGTTGGCCGCTTAAATCGCGCAGCTAATTACGTGCTAAGAAAAACTCAATAAAGACAAGGCCCAGACATTATATAATGACGCTTTCTGATACACTTAGACGATTATATATAGCTATTTATATAGTATATGTGCGCATATCCTGGCAGCAGCTGCTCAAAGCGCGGCGCTAGAAAGTGAAAGGCAAACATGCAAACGCCCACTTGGCACTTGAATATATATATAAACATGCACACGTATTTATATATATATATAGCTTACTATAACTAGATTTTTATATAATTGCAACTGTTTTTTTTGTCCGTTTTGACTAATTTGCCTGCGCTTGGTAGCCAAGAAACGAATGACTCGGACAACGAACTTGCTGCCGCAGCAGCCTAAAGACTCGAAATTAGAGCAAACGGCCTACTAACTAACCAACTGAACTGAATTAAACTAAGCGCAATTTAAGCGAACCGGTAGCCAGTCAGCCTCTGGCTATCTGACAATCGCACCACTGACCAACATATGCCACAGACAACAACAGCCGGCTGGCTGGCTCAGAGATCGATACAAATATGGGTCAGCTTGTGACGCGGCAAATGTGGACATATCTGATTGTCTATGCGGCAAATGCAATTTTAATTGCCAATCATCAATGGCCAAAACTGCTGCCGGTTGTATAAGTGCGAGAAATCTTTAGCTGAATAATTGCATCTGCGGTCTTATCTGCAGATCGAACTGATTTAGCATATGACCAAAAATAGATGCCTATGTCCGCACTTAAGTAAATACTTCTACTAAACACGCCATTAGATTTTATTATTTTATGCCAATTTTATGGCTAATAATTCCGTACCCCAGAGATTCCCTCAAAGATTGTTATGAATCCTTAAGATACTTCTACTCTAGCTCTAAGCTACTTTTGTGTGTTGCATCTGAATACAAAGTTTTGTACCTCAAAAATTAGCAACAATAATAATGTATATTCAAGTATTTATAAAATGTTACTTCGTATCTTAGAGATACTTTTTACTTAATAGGTTACCAAAGTAACTTGTGGGCCACAGAAGCTTTTGCATCTAAAAGATACTTTTAGAATATCAAAATTACCTTTATATACGTAAGCCAAGGTCACTTTTGTATTAGGCAGATTTTGTATACCAAATGTAAGAGGTTACTTACAGATAGTTTTGTATCTTAAAGATATATGTGCATAGCAAAGGTCGTTTAGTGTCTTTGAATAAAATAAAAAATTGTTTTTCAATAATTTTAAAGCTGAATGTTGAAGCACTCGAGTCGAGAGTCTTTTAACGCTAACATTGAGTTTGAGATAACTATGATCTCAATGCTTGACTGTCAGTCGGTTTCAGAGCTTACTTTTGCCCCATAAACGTCGACAATTATCTAAGAATCTCAAAGTGCTGCGCCTTCAAGAACGCGCATGCGTAATAGCCTTTTTAAGAACCCAGCCCCACATATGTTGCCGCCCACGGCAAATGATCTTCATATTACCATATACCATGGCTAATAAAAGCCAAATCGATTTCAATGTTCAATAACTTAATTAAGCGCAGATTGGGGTTAAATTTGCATGCAAATTGCGAATTGCATGCGCTTTGCCAGGCCAGGGGCCGGCACAGGGGCCGGCACAGGGGCGTCTGCGCAATCATCTTTGGAATATGAAATTGATAAATCGATACGATTTCAATCGGGCAATTAAATAAATATACGATACGGCAATTAACCAGTTGACTTATACAGAGCCGGCCATTATAACGAAGAACAAATAATTGGCGTTGATTAAACTGCGCCAAAAGCTACAGTTAATTGACATTTAAGGCAATTACTTAACTTTGGCAAAAAAAAACAAAAAAAAAAAAAAAAAATCAAAAAATAAAAACTAAAAAACAAAACATATACGAGCTAATAACGTCTGCGGGGGCTGTTCGATTTTGGGCACAGCTGTCTTTAAATACCAACCGAATGGAGCCAAAAGCCATTGCTAATTGCATTGACTGCTGCCGCAGCGGCAGTTATTTTTGTGGAAATGCAGTTTTCACATGCTCGACTTTGGTTTCTGCGCGTTTTTTCTTCAAAATTTACATACGTACTCTTGTGTGCGGCGCCACAATTCTCAGGCTGTGCAATTGAACATTGGGGCACTTGTTAGCGGCAATTAATGTTAGTTGCAGACGGACTGCATAAATCAGCCTAATTGCTATATTTAAATTCTAAATTTGGTTCTTTTTTCCAAAAAAAAAAAGGCGCACGCTTGTCGTGCACAACTAACTGAATATCGGACCCGGCCTGCTCAGCAAAAACATTGGCTTGTATGTTTTTTTGCATGTAATATATGCATAACATTAATTTTGCTGCCAGCCAGCAGGTGGTACGGTTTTTATTTTTCAAAATTAGTTTTTAACTTCACACTGGGTTTTCTTAGAATATCAATTAAAACTCTTGCATAAACAGGGAACCCTTCTCTATTAGTTTTAAAATGCGCGCGCTCATTGAACGACAAGCTATTTATGGTGGCAGTGCTGTATAACGTGCGCGCGCACTGCCGCCACAATCACAGCTGATATGCAGCTCACTAATGCCAGGCTGTATTTAACAGCCTGTTAAAATAAATATAAGACAAATGAGGGAATTTATGAACTGTGAATATTGTATATTCATAAATTATAATAATGATACATTTTTTTAATTATTAGCAAGAAATGTATTAAATTTATTACATTAATATTTCGATAACCCTTTTCAGAGCTGCGTACGGGCCGTTGGACTATCGATAAGTCTACATATTTATCGCAGAGAAGCCGGCTTCGCAATTTTGCACAACAATTTTGTTTACGTTTTGTTAAAATGTCGCTGTCGCCGAAGAATAGCGATGCGTCAGTGAACAAGGAAGCGAACGACGGCGATGATGAAGTGGCTAAGAATCCAACAGCCACCGAAGCCATGGACACGGATGACCGCCCCGCAGCAAACAATACTAAAGACATACATTACGATGCCGATAGTGAGATGAACGAATCGGGAGCAGAGGATGCGGCGCCCAAACGAGAGCCGACCACAGATGAGGATGTGTCCACGGTGATTGCACCGGCTAACCGCTCGACGTCTGATCCCATATCCAAGCAGAATTGCAAATGGAATCTACGTGTCATCATCTCAAATTTGTATATGCAAACCGAGCAGCGACTGCCCAGCGCTCGTGTGCCCAAATGCCTGCACAATACGAGTCAGTGCGTATGCAAGCATCGCTGTGCCATGCTGCCGGATGCGCCAGACATTGGGATTGCCCAGGAACTGCGCAACAATCTATATAGCCAGCACTATGAGACATATCTGGATATGCTGGAGACAATGGCCCTGCAGTCGGTCTATCCGGATGAGGCTGTATTTGATCGGCTCCTCGATATGATTATGGTAGGTTTGAATATACTTTGAATAAACCTAACCATTGATGATGTGCAATCTACAGATACTCAACACCAAGAGCCTGACCCTTGATGAGCTGCACAGCAGATATAGAAATGTGATACGCGTTTATTATCTGCTTGTGGATGCATTTCCACCCTGCTGGACAGCGTTGCGTCCCTACTATTTGAATTTCCTGGGCATCACCAATGCCACAGACGAAAAGCCACAAAAACTGCAGCTATTGCTGGATTTGCTGGAGGATTGCCTGGCCAAATGCAGCGACTCGGAGATTAGTCGGCTATCGCCCTACTACGAACAGTTTGTCCATGGTTTTGCTGAGGAGGAGAATGCAAACATGTCGCCAGAGGAAGTGTTTCTGTGTCATGTACAGGACTACGACTGGCAGAGTGGCAAACAGTGGGTAGATGAGTTTAAGAAAATGTCAGCAGCTGTGCAGCTGGCGCGCCTCTGCGATGCTCTGGACATGTTATGCTGGGTGTTGGAGCGTGAGTTTATGGCCTGGTTGGATCACAATCGTTTGCAGCAAACCGAGCCGGAAATCTTTCAAGAGGACTCAAAACCCTTTGTGCTCATCGTCTTTGGCATGACAAAGAGCACGCGGCTAACGAATATAACGCGCCAGCTGCTGCGCTTGTATAGCCGTGCCGCAGCCAAGTCAATGTATCCGGAACGCCTGAGGATATTAGAGGTAATTGTATTTATCTATCTAGCTGAGTATTTGCCTAATTTGAAGCAAATTTCACAATTCAGCGCTATGTGTCGCTCATCATGGAGGCGAGCAACACGGCCGAGCTGGTGTATGCAAATAATTCGCTGATTTATCCCAATCTGGGGTCGCAGACACGTCGTCTCATCGGCGAGTTCTTTAAGCTATTCAAAACCGAAAATCCTGCAGATGTTAGCACCTATATTAAGACCATACCGAGGCTCAGTCAGTGCTATGTGCGTTACGAGTTTGCCGATCATTTTCTGCGTCTATTTTACTGCTCCGATGCGGGATTTGGGCCGGGCAAGGTGTGCGAGGAGCTGAAGGCGAAGCGTTGGCTCAAATACAAGCCACGCAGCGCCATTGAGGACTCGGACAATGAGCAGTTGTCACGTGAGGATTATCTAAAAATTATGCTCAATGCGCTGCGGGATTATTGCCTGTGGCTGAATCTGCAAGCGTGTTGGAAATATATCAAAACCAAAGTCCCGGTGCAGCAGCTGCAAACAAGGACGAGCAGTCCACTGGCCACGCCCGTGGGCGTTGTCACTGGCGATGTGGGCAAAATATTTATGCTCGACGAGATGCAAAGGGAGGCGCACACCTGGAAGCAGCGCATCAACTCGAAAGTCATTTTGTCCAGACCCAAAGTCAATCTGCCCGTGGCCAGGATCAGTGTGAGCACCATGGCCGAGCGTTATGGCGGCGATATACGACAGCTGCGCTATCTGCGTCGTGTGCTGCTGGAGGTGAAGCGCTTCGAGGATGTTACAGATTGGCTGGACTATGTAAATGATTTCCTGGGCGAAGATGAGCCATCATCAGAAACTGAGTCCCAGAAAGAAAAAAGAGCACAATTGCCAGTGATAATTAAAACCTAAAGGTAAATTATAAATACGGCCATTAAAATAAGCCAAAAGAAGAATAGAAGTCAATAAGGATACAAGCTGATCACTTGTGGGCCCATCTCTAGTATTAATATTAAACAATATACTGAATTTCAAATTTCAACATTTTCAAAAAAGTTCCAATTCGCCAAACTCGCAACGTAAGCGCACAGTCAGCTACGTAAACGCAAAGTGAGCAGCGTAAACGCAATGTGCGCAACGCAAGCGCAAAAGCTTCACGTTTTAACAGAAAATCCGCCAGCACTTAACAGCAAAGTCATTTAACAGCAAACCCAATGCAGGATATCATCCTGTCTGGCAGCCAAAAAAAAAAGAATACTTTTAGTTGATTTTAGCAGCACAACCCCGTCGCCAGCAGCAAGAGCAGCAAATGCTTGCCGTCGCGACAAACACGCAAACTTAACCAAGTGTTATTCAAATAAACTACAACTCGAGTGCAAAATCAAAATTGTACGTAAGGCAACAACAGCAACAGCAACAACAACAGAAAAATGTGCCGTATAGTGTAACAGTAGCAAAAATAACAACAACGAACGTTGTGAGCACAGTGGTTAAAAAAGAAAGGAAACTAAGGAAAACACACACACAACAGCAAAAGCAAAAGAAAGCGCAGTCAAAATGTCGACAACTGTGGAACAGGTGAGCAAACTTGAAGCAAAACCAATTTAAGTAAATTTATGTAATTCCAAATATATATGTGGTATATACATATATTTTTTTTTGGCAAACCAATCAGTCATTAAGGCAATGTTACGGTATTTGAAACGGGCAGTCATTGCCGCCGACAACTGCGTAACATGCAGTGCCAGGCGGCCAACTGGCTGTCAGTCTGTCTCGCAGGCGGTCGCACTGTCTGTCAGTGTGTGTGTAGGTGTAGCCAGCTTGCGCTCAGCGTCGCTCGCTGTCTCTCTTTCTACTTGGGTGTGTGTGTGTGTGTTAGTGTGCGTGTGTATTGGCATGAGCCGTGCTGTTTTGCATTGCCATGCCAACGGCGACGCTGGCACTTCCTGTTTGGCTGATATTGCCTCGATTTGACAGTAAAATTCGATTAATTTCTAATCTGTACATCAGCTTGGCACAAGTGCCACAGCCAGACAGACTCGCAGACTTCATACGTATTCAGCGACAAATATAAATAGCTGCCATTTTGTCAGCGAATTGAAATGCACACACACACACCACAGTCAAACACCCACACACACACACACACACACACATTCAGTCAGTCACATGCACAGGACGCGGCAATGCATGCAAATTGCGTTTGCATATACAGTGAAAGCTCAACTAATGCTACAGCGGACATTGCCTTTAGCCGGCATATTATTTGTTGTTCTTGCGTAAAGAGAGTTTTTCAACTAGATTTGAATTAGATTAAAAGACAATTAGGCTTCGCAGGCTTTTGACAATTGATTCCATTAAGGGACAAAGGATATGTTTTTTCTCTTCAGTTTTAGTTAGTCGAGCATTGTATTATTTATAGTAATACATCTTTGTCAATGGGCTACAAAGGTTGATGCTGTCTTTTGGATTTAAACCTAATTGAAAACTTTATTTTTGTGGAAAGAGCATTTTTTGTTTGTTACATCGTAATTGTAGTTAAATATATATATGCTTGCAATTAAATAGAAACAATCGATTATTTGCGAGTTTTTTGGCACTAAAATATACAAGATTTCAATTTTTGTTTACAACTAACATATCTAACTAAATATTTGAATATATATATATTTGTTATCAGATCTTTTGCCTGCATATTTGACTGTCATTTTGTAAATTTTTTGTCGACTTAATCTCCGCAAAAGGAACGCTCCAGTGTGTGTTCACTGTACTTCAATTCAATCGTGCGTTTGCTTGTCTGTGATTTGACAATTTGTTGCAAGAACTAGTCTAGCCCACCTCTCCCCCGCCCCTTACCACCTTAAGAGCTGTTCACCTGCTGGCAAATTGAAGTGCCCCAAACGAGTGGCCCATTTAAGTTAACTTCAAGATTTGAGGGTGTCTTCCTCCAACCCCCCAAAAATGCATTGAAAACACAAGTTTTTACTTTGTGTCGCTTCAATTTTCTAATTGTAGCTTAATTTTATGTAAATTATCTTCCAAATCTCAGTTCCTTTGGCATGTCTTACTTTCTTTTTTTGTGGTGCGTATGCTACGCGTAAGTCTCGCCTTTCAAAGTCACCGAAAACTTTTGTTGCATATTTCAAGGCGCGCATGTAGCGCGAGTCATTACGTTTTATAGACTTTATAAGAACTTCGCTGATGCAGTTTGGTCAAAAGTTTTCGCTGCGCTGCGCTGTCAGGTGACTGCTCAGCATATTCTTATATAGAAAAATACACATACATATATAAATATATAGTATATATATGTACACGGAAAGTTAAAAACCGGCAAGAGGAAGATAGCGTTAAGAACGGAAGGCGCCTGTTTTTTTGGTTGAGCGGAAAGAAAAACATTTTCAAGCGTTTATGGCCACGCGGTATTATGATGGCATTTAATATAAGTTTTCCGGGAAAAACAAGATTAAAGCTTCACAGTGTGCTTAAATTTGAATTTTTATATAGAACTCATTAAATTGTTTACATACATGATAATGTGTACAACAATCCTACTTGGCATTTAATATACACATAATTTAATAGTAGTATAAATATAATCACATTTAATTAACTTATAATTTGAGCGAAGCAAACATTTTTGCATGAACTTTGAATGCGAAAGGATTTGCAAAGTTTTTAAATTAAATGTAACTATGCTTTAGAAAATACTTGACATTCTTTTATGGCCACTTGAAAGCGATTCATTTTAATCAAAACTTTCTGTTGCTCCTTATTCCACTCAAATTCATGGAAATGTTGCCCCAGAAAGGATGCTTTACCCATATATTTCGCAGAATTTTAATTGCACAGTAATTTTTTTTGTTATTTCTCAACACTTTTCTTGTGTAATTTGGTTAGCAAATGTGTGAGAGATGAAGTATATATATATATATATATATATATATATATATATATAAATTCTGTCCGTTTCTATGGAAACTAGCCACATTTAAGAAACTTGGTTAGATGTCAAACAAATCAAGAGGGAGAAGAATAATCATATTGAAAAAGGTTAAAGAAATAAGTTAGTAATAAATAAATAGGGGAATGAGGGTAGAGCAGTTGAATGGAGTTGTTTAGAGGGGAACCGGAAAGGAGGGTGAATAAATAAGTTAATTAATAATAAATAATAAATAGAGAATAACGAGTCGAGTATTAGAATAGAGAAAGGATAAAATACAACAGAAGTAGAGAAGAAGGAATGGAACTCGGAAGAGAATTCGGAGTAGAGTAGTAAAATAGAAAGAGAAAGTGAGAGAGAGAGAGAGAGAGAGAGAGAGAGAGAGACAATGCGAAGGATAGAAAGAGAGAGAATGAGAGAGAGGGTCAACACAATTGTATTAGAGAGTCAAGAATGGGGAAAAAGTGCCAAAAGAAAAAAATTAATAAATAAATAAGAGAATGAAGACTAGAGTAAGAGAATAGAGGAAGAGGGGAATAAACAATAGTGGAAGAGAAGTTGGAATGGAAAATTATTGCCACGGTGGAGGATAATTGTGTTGGCTGTCCGGCCTCGAACTATTATTTCAAATAGTTTCCCACTTTCTATGCTTTTCATTTTCCCAAATCATGTTATTTGAATGCATAGTTAAATAAGAAAATAATAGGGAGCATTCGTATGAATTATAGTCATGATGTATTATGTATGGCATATAGCACGTCGATTTGTAACGGTGCATGGGCTAACTAACGAGACTCACGCACACACACACACACATACACACACAGGCACACATATGTGTATATACAGCCTTGTCTGTTGCTGTTACGTGCGAAGCTTCCTGCTTTTTGTGCAGCATTTTGCCCTGAGCATAAATTACAACTTCTCAGAGGTTAGCAACAAACGCGCACATATGTACAGGCACACACACACTCGCACACACATACATACATACATACATACGCTCGCATGTGCCTTTGGCTTGGCTGTCAGCGTCGCCGGTTGCCGCTGCTTACATAATGTTAATGATGCTGCCGCCGCGGCCAGTGCCGGGACTCATTTCATGTTGTTTGCGAAAAACAGAGAAAAAGAACAACAAAAACAAAAGTCAGCAGCGGCAGCGGCACGTGACACGCGGCGTCGGGGGCGTCACAATGGACGCACTGCATCCTGGGCTAAATTGTTTTGCCGTGTTGCCGTTGCTGTTGTTGTTGTTGTTGTTGCACATTATTTCAATTTGGCGGCATAATAAAGTGCTTCCGTTGTGGGCCACATGGCGTATTGTGCAACGCCTGGCAATGCGAGCAGCTCAGCTGCAGCAGCTGCATCCCCAAGGATAATGCCTTGCTCGGGCTTCGTTATGCTTGTTTGCGCTGATGCACAGCGCCAACGCGGGCCAACTGCTTGCCCCTGGGCAGTGCCTTGACACACACTCACACACACACACACACACACACCAACACACACAGTTGTACACACAGCTGCCCCCAATTGGCAGCTGGTGACCGCCAAAAGTGTCATTTGGAGCAGCGGCGGCTCTGCCCTGGCCAAGGTCAAATCTGAACTGTTTTGATTTAATTTATTGTTGCATGCATTTGTGCGCTCATAAAACGCCAACGAACGCCTAAGTTAGCACACAGGCACACACACACACACTCACACACCTGCTCCAGCTTCCTTCTGCCCATCCGCCCCTTTTGCGGCTAGCAAAGCCAATATTTTGTTTGTCTGCCTCTGTTTATCTTTGTCTTTGTCTAGAAGCGAGTGTGTCTGTGTATATTTTGATTGCTTTTGCTTACACCCTTAGCACCCTATCACACACACACACACTCCCACAGACACACACACAGCTATACAATGCCACGAGGTGACTCAATGTCTTGCTCATTTCCTTCGAATGGTCGAAACTATATTCAGCACAGCCGCTGTTTCTTTATGCCCAGTGTGTGTGTGTTTCTGTGTGTGTGAGATTCTTTGTGGCATAAATAGGGGTTTTGTTTTTATGTGAGTGCTGGCATAACATACATACACACGTATATACATATATTTATATATAGAACTGTAGCTGCCCCGACATTAAATGACTTTCCTTTTGCCAATTCGCAAATGTGCTTGACGCTCTAAAAGGATTCTAAATTGCTTTTACATTGGTTTCTTGTTAGCTTTATCTTTGTTTTTACCTTAACAAATGCTTTTTATTTTGTTACCTAAGTTCAATTTGCGCTTTAAATTGTGTTGAGGTTTCACATTTTTAGTCAGCAACAAAATTAGTGAAGCGAACTTTTAGAAGCTGCTTTTAAATGCCTTTCAGCTTTTAGAAGTGTCAATATCAGAAATTGTGCTAAATACTTTAAGCTTTATGTATTTGTTGACCTGTTTCTTAATAAATAAATCTATTCGACATCTCGATTTGAGCAGAGAAAATAAAGTGCTTTTCAGTTTGCTAAGCGAAAAACTTGTCATTTTGTGCCATGCATTTTTACCGTTTACAGCTTAGTAAGTAGCTGGTTATCAATAGTTAATTAGATATGCTCTGCAAAGAGGAGTGTCGACATGTCAGATTGAGTGTTAAACATATATTTTGGGGACACCTATCAAG